CAGAGGTTGCAGTGAGCCAAAATCGAGCCACTACACTCCAGCCTGGGTGACAGAGTGAGACTATGTCTCAAAGAAAGAAAAAAGAAAAATGGATTAACCGTAGTATTAAAGGAATGAGGCCAATAATGGGTGAACTTTTTCTTTTCAAATCTTTCTTTAAAAGTATAATATCTTCAAATAAAACTGAGTAGAAATTAAATAATTCATGCAAGAATCTACTTCTCAGAAAGGCACAAATTGAATATTAGAGTCTTCCTTTCAAAAACAGTTTTGTGTTTTGAGGTTTAATATTCATCTTCCCCACCAGAATGTAAGCTTCTTTAGACCAGCATCTGTGTCTAACTGATTCACCGCCATATTTCCGGCACCTTGCACAACCCCTGGCATTTAGTAAATATTCAGTAAATCTGATAAATGACGGAAGGAATAACCTCTTTTTTGGAGTACAAATTGGTACACATTTTCTAAGGAAAAATTTGGCAATAGGCATTGTGATTCGAGGACTGTATATCCTTTAATAATCAGAATTGTGGATAGAGTAAATTTTTTAATAAAACGTTTCTAGCCAGATGTGGTGGCTCACACCTGCAGTTTGGGACGCTGAGGCAGGTGGATCACCTGAGGCCAGGGTTTAAGATCAGCCTGCCCAACATAGCAAAACCCCATCTCTACTACAAATACAAAAATTAGCCAGGCATGGTGGTGCATGCCTGTAATCCCAGCTACTCAGGAGGCTGAAGCATGAGAATCACTTGAACCCAGGAGGTGGAGGTTGTAGTGAGCCGAGATTGCACCACTACACTCTGGCCTGGCAACAGAGCAAGACTGTCTCAGAAACAAAACAAAAATTCCTTTCAATAGTATTCTATGCAAAGCTCTTTATAGTTATACAACATAGAAGCAATATGAATTTTTTAAATTACATGTTTGGTTAAGTCACATATGGTACATTCATATGATAACATACTGTGCTATTAAAAAAATTGTTTTGAGAGAGGGTCCCTCTCTGTCTTTCAGGCTGGAGTGCAGTGGCACCATCACAGCTCACTACAGCTTCAGCCTCCCAAGCTCAAGCGATCCTCCCACCTCACCCACCTGAGTAGCTGGGACGACAGACTCATGGCACCATGCCCAGCTAATTTCTCTATTTTTTTGTAGAGACAGGGTCTCGCCATATTTCCCAGACTGGTCTCAAACTCCTGTGCCCAAGCGATCTGCCTGCCTCAGCCTCCCAATGTCCTGAGATTACAGATATACGCCACCACATCCAGTCTAAAATCATTTTTTGAGAACATTCAGGCCAGGTGTGGCAGCTTATGCCTGTCATTTCAACAATTTGGGAAGTTGAGGCAGGAGGATCACTTGAGACCAAGAGTTTGAGACCTGCCTGTGCAATATGATGAGACCTTGTCTCTACAAAAATTAAAATTTTCAAACATTAGCTGGGTGTGGTGGTGTACACCTGTAGCCTCAGCTACTCAGGAGGCTGAGGTGGGAGGATCCCTTGAGCCCAGGAGTTCAAAGTACAGTGAGCTGTGATCATGCGACTGTACTCCAACCTGAGCAACAGAGCAAGACCATGTCTCTAAGAATTAAAAAAAAATTTTTTTAAGAATATTATATGGGAAAATTATAATATAAAAGTAGATTAAAATTGAATATATGCTAATCAATTCTATGGAAGTATGATATGATATTCATTTTATATGTACATGAAATTAAATACACCAAAATATTTGCAGTAGTTGTATATGGGTAAAGAGAGCAGGCCTGGTGAGTTTTTTTTGGTTGGTTGTTTTTACCGTGTGCTGGCACGAGTTTAGGCACTTTTCTCGTATTAACATATCTCTTCCTACCTTTTTAAAGCAGCTTTATCAAGGGATAATTGACATACAATAAATTAGATCTTTTGAAATTGTACAGTTCCCATGAAACCATCACCATAATCAAAATAAAATATTCATCACTTTCAAAAGTTTCCTCATACCTCCCCCATTCCAGCCTCCTTCATCCCTAGACAACCACTGATGTGCTTTCTGTCACTACAGATTAGTCTGCATTTTCTAGAATTTTACATAAATGGAATCAGGCCATATGTACTTTTTTTTTTTTTTAATGGAGTTTTGCTCTTGTTGCCCAGGCTGGAGTGCAATGACATAATCTCAGCTTACTGCAATCTCTGCCTCCGCCTCCCGGGTCGAAGCGATTCTCCTGCCTCAGCCTCCTGAGTAGCTAGGATTACAGGCATGCACCATCACACCCAGCTAATTTTGTATTTTTAGTAGAGATGGGGTTTCTCCATGTTGGTCAGGCTGGTCTCGAACACCCTACCTCAGGTGATCCACCTGCCTCAGCCTCCCAAAGAGCTGGGATTACAGGTGTGAGCCACCACCTGGCCAACCATATGTACTTTTTTGAATGATTTCTTTCACTCAACATAATTATTTTTAGATTCATCTATGTTGCCAAGTATATCAATAGTTCATTCCTTTTTGCTGCTGAATTGTATTGTATTGTATTGTATATATACATCAGTTTATTTATCTTTTGATGGACATTTTGGCTGTTTCAGTTTTGACCATTACAAATAAAACTGCTATGAATGCCGGGCATGGTGGCTTACACCTGTAATCCTAGCATTTTGGGAGGCCAAGGCAGGTGAATCACGAGGTCAGGAGATTGAGATCATCCTGGCTAACATGGTGAAACCTGGTTTCTACTAAAAATACAAAAAATTAGCTGGGCATAGTGGCACATGCCTGTAATCCCAGCTACTCAGGCGGCTGAGGCAGGAGAATTGCTTGAACCCAGGAGCAGAGGTTGCAGTGAGCCAAGATCATGCCACTGCACTCCAACCTGGGCAACAGAGCAAGACTCTGTCTCAAAAATAAATAAATAAAAAATAAAAACTGCTATGAACATCTTGTGTACAAATCTTTGTATGGATTTATGCTTTCATTTCTTTCATTTCTCTTGGGCAAAATACCTAGGAGTAGGATGGTTGGATGGTACGGCAGGTATATATTTAACTTTTTATGAAACTACCAAGCTATTTTCCTTAGTGGTTATACCATTTTACATTCCAAACAGTAAATGAGAGTGCCAGTTCCTCCACATCCTTGTCAAATCTCAGTATAGTCAGTCTTTAATTTTAGTTATTCTAATAGTTATGAGTTGATTGTGGGGGTTTTGTTTCTTCAAGATTTTTTGGTGTTTTCCAATTTTTCTGCAATAAAATGTATCCTCCATAATCAAAAAATTATTTAAAGTAACTAAAATAAGATGCAGACTAGTCCAATATGAAGTCTTAGTCTGAAGACTCTTCCTTCTAAAAGAGTAACCCAAGATGGTCTTCAGAGCACCCAGCAAAGAGCACTAGCTGTGTGGCCTATGTAACCCTTCCTCATGAGTAACATTTGTTGTTTTTTTTTGGCCAGGTGTGGTGCCTCATGCCTGTAATCCCAGCAATTTCAGAGGCTGAGGAGGGCAGATTGCTTAAGCCCAGAAGTTCGAGACCAGCCTAGGCAATATAATGAGACCCCATCTCTACAAAAAATATAAAAAAATTAGCCCAGCATAGCAGTGTGCACCTGTGGTCCTGGTCCTGGCCACTTGGGAGTCTGAGGTGGGGAGGATTGGTTGAGCCCAAGAAGCTGAGGTTGCAGTGAGCTGGGATTGTGCCCTTGCACTCCAGCCTGGGCAACAGAGCAAGACTCTGCCCCCCCCACAAAAAAAAGTTAACATTTGTTTTATACATGTATAATTTTTTTTCTTGAGACAGAGTTCTCACTCTGTCACCCAGGCTGGAGTGCAGTGGTGCTCTGCAACCTCCACCTCCCAGGTTCAAGCAATTCTCCTGCCTCAGCCTCCTGAGTAGCAGGGATTACAGGCATGCACCACCATGCCCAGCTAATTTTGTATTTTTAGCAGAGATGGGGTTTCTCCATGTTGGTCAGGCTGGTCTCGAACTCCCAACACCAGGTGATCCACCTACCTCGGCCTCCCAAAGTGCTGGGATTACAGGCGTGAGCCCAACATTTGTTTTTTAAAATCAACTTGCTTTTTTTTTTTTTGAGACGGAGTCTCACTCTGTCGCCCAGGCTGGAGTGCAGTAGCATGATCTCAGCTCACCACAAACTCCGCCTCCCAGGTTCAAGCAATTCTCCTGCTTCAGCCTCCCGAGTACTGGGATTACAGGCACACACCACCATGCCCAGCTAATTTTTGTATTTTTAGTAGAGATAGGACTTCACTATGGTGGCCAGGCTGGTCTAGAACTTCTGACCTCAAGATCTGCCTGCCTTGGCCTGCCAAAGTGCTGGGATTATAGGCATGAGCCATTGTGCCCAGCCAAAATCAACTTGCTTCTCAAGGTTATACCCATACTGGGAAAATATAAATACATATTAACCTCCCAATGTTATCTATTATTTCCTTTTTCTGTTTTATCTTCCAGCTTGTATCCATCCAGATGTTATAACATTCTGACACGCTATTCTGTAGTTTATATTTTTACTTGTCATATCATATTTTCCATATTGCTTATTTATCTTTTTAACCATAATTTTAAATGTCAAGTTAATGTATCATAAATTACTTCCCCAGTATCCCTTGCTGAGCTATTTCCAATTTTCCATTATTAATAGTAATGCTGTAATAAGTAAGTTGGTACAAAAAGCTTGTTTCTTCTTTTGAATTCTTTCCTTATGATAAATACCCAGGAGTGAGATTCCTGATCAAAGGCTAGAACATTTTTCTGATTGCTGATACATACTGTCATATCACTTTCCCAAAGGATATTTTAATACTAATTTAAATGTTACTTGCCATGTGCCAGCCCTGGTTTCTGAAGTATTTGCTAATTTTCTAGGTATAGCATACGTCATTGTTCTAATTTGCATGCCTTTGACTCTCACCAGGTAGACGTTTTTCCATGTCTGATCGCCTCCTAGGATAAAACTGCCTGTTGTCCTTTATTGATTGATACTCTGTTTTCACAGACCCAGAGCCAAGGAGTATGACCCTTGACTCTCTCAGTGCTTCCCAGACTGAGCACATCCAGACTCCAGACGCAGATACTGTGCAAAACGTGTAAGTGTTCAAAGTTGTAATAACACGGGCTTCTCTGCTTTTATTTTGTTTGTATTTTTAATTAATTTAGTTTGGTTATTTTCTGACAGTCATGAGAATTCTCAGCTGACAATGTGCTCTGACAGCCAAATTAAATGGTTGTCTAAGAAACAAAGATTCTGCGGATGACTATATTGTGGTGTGTTTCCTACCTAAAAACCATATTATTTGAATGGGTAGGTGAAGAGTGAAGTTAACTCTAACCATGTGGAAACAGCTCTTTCCATTTGTCCAATCTGAAATCTACAGAGATGCCTAGAAAGCTGAAATCTATCACTTCAACCTGGGTTTCTCCCGTCAGCATTCAATCAGCCCTGAGTAAAATAAATAATGCTAATAATCCTAACACCAATATTAATAATAATTGCTAGCCTGTATTGAGTGCTTCCTGTGTACTGTACCAATAGGCTTACTGTGAGCCCGGCCAATCAGGCATAGTGTTTTGACTTAAGCCCCCTTTGGCAGTGGGACCTGGTGTGACCTCTCTGCCTCCATCTGGAACTACAAGCCTATTGTGACCTCCCGAAAACCTGCCCTCACCTGCCCTGGGATGTAAAGATTCCCTCCTAAGTCAAAAAACTTTTGCATTCCCCGGGAGTAAAGGGGGAAAGGCACTTGGATGAATGAGACAGACACCAGAGGAACACCATTTTTAAATTTTTATACCTGATCTTTGCTCACAATGTATTTTAAATGCTTGTGACAACCACCCTCCCTCCACCAAAAAACAAGAAATAATCAAAAAGAAATTGTTTAACTCAGGAGAAAAAAACACAAACTTTCACAGAAGTCATTACAGTCTTTGTGACTTAATTTCAGTCTTGACAGGGGGATTCCTGACATAGAGATTTCTGAAAAAAAGAGTAAAATGATCAGGTTTGTGGTTCTCATTTGCAGTATACCTGTTCCTCAGGGAAATTAAAGGTTTTCCAAGCACTAAATTCTAAAGGAGACTTCTCCTATGGGCTTTTATAGAGTGACATTGAATGATTTAAAGACTCATATATTTACAGGAAATTCCATTCACCTCATTCGACAAATATTTCTCAAGTTTCTACAGTAAGGCCCTGTGCTAGCAGAGCACAGTAAAGAGAATACTCATTTAGCTAAAAAAATAAAATAAAATGCCCAGAACCAGGCCTGGCACACAGCAGGCACACAGTAGCTGCTATTGCTGCTGTCACTGCAATGCATGGGGCTGTTTTTCAGTGGCCTTTTTACCTGGAGGGCATAAGTCAGTTATCCTCAGGGCACTCAGTGAGTGACAGCAATTCTACCATGGATAAAACCACCACAGCACATGACCTTTTTGTGGCTGAATTTGATAAGGATAGAAGTCAGAGAGCATAAAGGGCTGAATGGATAGTTACATGTTCCTAACACAATCTTTCTTAAAGGTCACTTTCCTTCTCCAGCTAATCCTTTGATTGAAGAAATTTCAGTTAAATAATTCTTTGTCATTTAATTAAAAGCATAAATATGCAACCCCAAAGAGCAAATGACTTCTCCCACTCTCTGAGTTTTAGGATTTATCTGAGGAAACCCCAAAAGTGAAAACCAATCTTTCTGATCTTCCTTACCATGGGATATGCAGAAGAAAAAGAGTCGACCGAGTATGTCAAATGTTAGGCACAGGGCCTGCAGAGAGCAGGTGCTCAATGTTGGTTCACTTGCCCTCTTTCTTTCTACCAGAGTTTTTTTCTTTAGTTTGGTCCTGTTGGTTTGCTCTTTTCAAAGGGGCAGAGATTATGATGTACACCACCTCCACAGAGGACTTCTGAGACACAGGCCTGAGTCACCAGAGAGGTTGAGTGCTGTGTATACATCTCTTCTTCCAAGAGAAAGAGAAGGGAAGGCTGAACCAAGACTGTTTAGCCAGGAGACAGCTAGCATCAGTCACGTGAGTGTAAACACCTAAAAGCTCAGTCTGAAAGCCCTACCTGGATCTCATCAAGGATACCATGTACAGTTGTATAGAGTGCTTACTATGAGGGCGGCATTTTTGCATAAAGCGAATGAAGGGGGCACTAAGTCCAGCCTGTGGTCTGCTTACCAAGCCCTGCACAGCCACATTGGGCTGCATCCTCCTGAAGGATGGAGCATCCATTTCTAATTCCTTTTTTTTTTTTTTTTGAGACACAGTCTCTCTGTGTCACCCAGGCTGGAGTGCAGTGGCACAATCTCAGCTCACTGCAACGTTCACCTCCCGGGTTCAAGTGCTTCTTCTGCCTCAGCCTCCCGAGTAGCTGGGATTACAGGCATGTCCCACCACTCCCAGCTAATTTTTGTATTTTTTTTTTTTCAGTAGAGATAGAGGTTCACCACGGTGGACAGGCTGGTCTCAAACTCCTAACCTCAAGTGATCCACCCACCTCAGCCTCCCAAAGTGCTGGGATTACAGCGTGAGGCACCACACCTGGCCCCATTTCTAATTCCTGCAAAGGTACTGAGTGGGTAGTCACTGTCCCACTCTGTCATCCTCTCTTAGGAGGAAGCACTGTGTTGTTCCATCCCATGGAGAAAGGTGGTCATCTCCCTGAGGTTTCCTGAAAGTTAGCAAGTAATTCTGCAGTGAATAAAGCTGGTTTTGATTTACAATAGTTAACCATTAATCATGGCAACACCAATCTAGCAAAGGTAAAAACTGTTTCACTTTGATCCAGCTCTGTAGATCATGATTTAGAATCTAAGAAAGGAGGCAAACCATAAAGTATGTTTTCCTCCTCTTTCCTCTAATGAAATTATTCCTAGCAGTTTTACATCAAAGGTTGAACCTTTGAATCTCCCCATTGGCTCTGCATTCTCTAAGATTCACTCTTCTGCTTTACCTGGAACTCACACAAATTCCATTCTAAGCCAATCTGTCACCTTGTTCAACACAATCTTCTTGGGTGGTTTTTTTTTTTTTTTCATTTCCTATACACATCATGGTCCCCTTTCTTGATTTTTCACCTTTAGGAGAGGGATCTGATTGACAAAGCCAAGAGAAAGAAAAAACCCAAGACAGACAAAACCAAAGCACTCAAGAGAGAGAGAGAAGGAAAGATCTACAGGGAAGCAGAGGCTGCTGTCGGTAAGAGAGTGTGCCGGCAAGTAACAAAAACTGGAGAAAACTCCCATTGGGGTCAGGAGGTGGTATGGGTAATTAGCATGGATCCTACCAGACAAACGCTCTGTTTTGAGTCTCCTTGACTACTAGAGCTAGGATGGTGTTGCAGCCTTACTTCATGTCAATATCTTAATAAACAGAGATAGAGGAAAATGGGGAGCCTAGAGGCCTGTGTTCACCAAGAAAGGAAAGTATAATAATAACAGCACCTATTTATTGAATACCTACTCTATTAGGACTCTGTATATATGATCTCATTAAATCCTCACAACATCTCCATGAAGGAAGTTTTATTATTATATTCATGTAGCAACTGAGGTTTAGCAAGGTTGGGTGACTTGCTAAATCTGCCTCCGATCATACTGTATGATCAAGCAGATCATACAGTAAAGTGGTAGACCCGGGGTTTGTCCTTTCCTATTTGACTCCTAACAGATTCTATTACCACTGCCTCCATAAAATAATAACTAAATCACATAATCAGAGTATTGGGTAATGAGAGCATTTGGGAAGGGGAAGGATATCACAGTGTTGAATGATTCTCCAAACTACGGTTTCTGTCTTGGTTCCCTGACCAGGAACTCAGATTCCTACACTTCTGAAGACTTGCTTTAGCCTAAAACTTACACCCAGCCTTTGCTTCCCACATGATACAGAACACCCTCCAAACAAATCCAATGCTGCTGGAAAGGACAACAATGAATACGCTCCTGAACAAAATCTATTTTTGAAATTTGCTTGTTTAACTCTTGCTGAATTTACATTTTTGTAGCCCATGACTTGGGTAGCATTGGTGGGATTAGGAAAAGGAAATATTTGTGGTGTCCCCACCAAACGTGAAGTGAAGGAAGGGTCCTTAGAGTGTGGAAGGCTAAACTTTGCCAGGTTACAAAGCTGCAACCTCAAGCCAGACTCTCAAGGCATGACTTTCCAGCTGTGTCTACGAGCCTCCCTTCTGGGCAGTCCTGCCCCCACCGTAAGTCAGAGTGAAATAGAACTTATTTAATAGCAAGACTGCTGAATGTCAGTTGATCCAAAGAGGATAAGGCAGTTTCTCAAAGGGTGGTCTGCAAACTACTCTTCCCAAAACACATGGGGTGTTTGTTACAGGGCAGATTCCTACTGAACCAGATTCTGGGGCTCGGGCCCAGGAATCTGCACCACAGGTGATTCTATTGCATACTAACTTTTAAAAGTTACTAAAAAGGAGCCAGGCATGGTGGCTAACACCTGTAATCCCATCACTTTGGGAAGTGAGCAGATTTCTTGAGCTCAGGGATTTGAAACTAGCCTGGGCAACATGGCAAAGCCCCATTTCTACAAAAAATACAAAAATTAGCAGGACATGGTGGTGCACCTGCAGTCCCAGCTACTCGGGAAGCTGACATGGGGGGGATCACTTGAGCCCAGGAGATCAAGGCTGCAATGAGCCATGATCATGCTATTACTGGGTGACTACTCCAGCCTAAGTGACAGAGCCAGACCCTATCTCAAAAAAAAAAAAAAAAAAAGGATGTCTAGAGCAAGACCCTATCTCAAAAAGACTAAAAAGGATGTCTAGAGATCACATTAAGTCAACTCAGCTATGTATCTATCCCCAATTGTTCTGCCCCAGGAAAATCAAAGGACTCAAAGGCTAAAAAAAATTTAGAAAAAAAATCAGGAGCCCAAAGGAAAAGGACACAGAAGGAAAGAAATCTGGAGAAAGCGGCAGAGCAGACTGGGCCTGATGTCATTCACTCTGAGGAAACAGAAGACACCTCAAATAGAGGTTCCTTCGCATCAGACTCCTTCGTAGAGGACCCTTGGCTTTCTCCCAAATATGATGCTCAGGAGACCCAAGTTTCTCTAGATGGAAGATCATCACCCTCCCAGATTGCAACTGTCACTGGCAACATGGAATCTAAAGAAGAGAGAAGCTGTGAGGACCCTTCCAAAGTCAAGTCTGATGTCCTCAGCTTGACAGAGGGAGTTCTGTCCTCACTTGGCACAAGTGCAGAGGTGAGAAAAGCTGCCCTTAATTATACTGCACTTACTGAAACAGCTCTAATACCTAATGATCTTATTGTTCTCCTTTGGTATCTTCTGACCCTAGTAAGACCTGATCAAAGATGCAGGGGTGGCAAAGCCCCTCTGAAGTGATGCATTCTGTGAGGCCCCCACACGGCCAGGGCAAGTATCTACCCTGTAAAGAATAGGGTGGATAATGAGCATAGCACCTATCTGTGAGGGGTGCAGGACTCGTGGTTACAGGGAAAGGTGGATACTGGCTATCAGAATCAAGCATATTTACTTGACTTAGGCTAGGGCTCATCTATTGCTTGCCTCCCAAAGGCTGTGGAAATTTCTGCTTTCCTAATCTGTGTTTCTGCGGTATACAGCTGGAACAGAGGCAGTATATATGTGTATATGTGTATATATATATATAAAACAGATACTGTATACATATATCTGTTTTTACAAGGTGCTTTTGGGCCAGGCACAGTAGCTCACGCCTGTAATCCCAGCTCCTTGGGAAGCTCAGGCAGGTGGATCATGAGGTCAAGAGTTAGAGACGAGCCTGGCCAACATAGTGAAACCTCATCTCTACTAAAAATACAAAATTTAGCCAGGTATGGTGGTGTGTGCAAATAATCCCAGCTACTAGGGAGTATGAGGTGAGAAAATCGCTTGAACTCGGGAGGCAGAGGTTGCAGTGAGCCAAGATCATGCCACTGCACTCCAGCCTGAGTGACAGAGCAATACTCCATCTCAAAAAATATATATATACAGGGTGCTTTTTCATGTAAGAGTCACTTTGTTCCAGAGGCCTTGATTCTTATGTGGAGGTCTGAAGAGAAAAACTGAGTGTAAGGAAAAATTACCCTTGAAAATTGCTGCAATTAGGCCAGATGCGGTGGCACATCTGTAATCCCAGCACTTTGGGAGGCCAAGGCAGGAGTATTGCTTAAGATCAGGAGTTTGAGGCTGCAGTGAGCTATGCTTATGCCACTGTACTCTAGCCTGAGCAAAAGGACAAGATTCTATGTGTAACGAAAATAAGAAACAAGAGAGAGAATAAAGAAAAGAAGGAAGGAAGGAGAGAGGGAGGGAGGGAGGGAGGAAGGAAATCCCTGCAATTAACCAAAAAAGAATACCATATAGCGACATGTATGTATATTCATCTGTCAGCATGACCAACACAACCAATTTTTCTTCTGATGTTAGAATAGATTACTATTCCTTCCACTGAGACTAAGGTACTGAACTTCATTTTGACATCTTATACAAAAAAATTAAAAAGTAGCTTTAAACACTGCAGATGCACACACGGCTAAGCCACTATGGTTAAACTCACATATGTTACATTAACCTTTACAACTACACTGTGAGCCAAGTATGATTAGCCCCATTTTACAGATCCAGAAATAGAAGCTAGAGGGAGTTAAATGCAGGTTGCCAGAAATTATACAACCATTGAGTGGTAGAGCCAAGACTTAAGCTTAGGTCCTTCGACTCTAAGTTCAGGACTCTTGTCACTATTTTAAATTATTATCTATTTACTTATATTATGGCCCATGGCTTCCAAAAAGGATTCCAGGAAGATTTTACTTTATAGTTCTCAGTCCCTCCCAGCTGCCTGGATCACAGAATTCCGCTCTGCACAACAGATGAAAATTTCAACCTATGGGCAGAACTTTTCTGAGCCTGTGTGATCATCAACATGTCTTAGATTTATTGTCATAGTACTGTGCTGCCTTTTTCTCTGAGTTGGATACACAGAGTTCCTGGAAGGCTTGCCTCCCAAGGTTCCTTCATAGGCATATTTCTGAGGAAGAGGCATTAGGGAGAAAAAAGAAAGCTATAACAACCTTCATATAAACTGAAATAACAATCTTCCATTGGAAAGGTGAGTTTCTATGGGATTAAATGTGAGTCTGACCCATCTATACCTGAGGTTGCCCTGGTAAAATAGCTTCTATCTAGAACCTGTGGTTCCCAACTCTGGCTTCTTGTTAGAATCACTCAAGAAATTTTTCAACAACTGAGGCCTTCCACCTAGAGATTTTCATTGGTCTGGGTAGAGTCTTGGCCTCAGGTACTTTTGTTTTTATTTATATATATCTGTGTGTGTGTATGTGTGTGTGGTGTGTATGCATGCATGTATGTCTGTATATATATGTACATATACATACATACATATATGCATACATATATATAACCATCAATATGTAAATATATATATATATATTTTTTTTTTTTTTTTTTTTTTTGAGGCAGAGTCTCACTTTGTCGCCAGGCTGGAGTGCAGTGGTGTGATCTTGGCTCACTGCAACCTCCGCCTGCCAGGTTCAAGCAATTCTCCCGCCTCAGCCTCCCAAGTAGCTGGGACTACAGGTGTGCGCCACCATGCCCAGCTGATTTTCGTATTTTTAGTAGAGACAGGGTTTCACCATGTTGGCCAGGATGGTCTCAATCTCTTGACCTCATGATCCGCCCACCTTGGCCTCCCAAAGTGCTGGGAATACAGGCATGAGCCACTGTGCCAGGTCTTTATATAGTTTTGAGACAGAGTCTTGCTTTGTCACCCAGGAGTGCAGTGGCATGATCATAGGTCACTTGTTACCTTGAACTCCTGGGCTCAAGCAATCCTCCCACCTCAGCCTCCCAAAATGCTGGGATTACACGTGTTAGCCACTGTGCCCAGTCTCAAGTAATTTTTGAAAGCTCCTTGGGTAATTCTAAAGTGCAGCTAGGGTTGAGAACTCTAGAACCTACCATGTATTGGACATTATGTTGGCACTTCCATTATTTCAGCTAATCCTGGTGACAATACCATGAAGAAGACAATGTCGGGAAGTTTAAGTTGTAATCCCTAAATCCCAAAGCAAGTAAGAAACAGAGTTGAATCAAGGTCAGTCAGACCCAAATGTCCAAGCTGGTGGCAGCTGAGTCTGCAGCTGTGGGCAGTGTGGAGTCTGCTTTATGAGTCCCTCTTTGATTAGAGACAACATTGTCTGGGGTGGAGAAGGGCTCAGTGCTGAGAGTGTTTCTTGCACTGAGAACACTCTGGTTTCTTAGGCCCTCCTCACTAAGAGGGAACAGGAGAAGGCTTCCCAGGACAGGCTTCGAACAGAAAGAGCCGAGATGAGGCGGCTGGAGGTGGAGAGGAAGAGAAGGGAGCAGGAAGAGCAGAGGCAGCTCCAGCAGGAGCAGCTGGAGAGGGCAAAAAAGATGGAGGAGGAGCTGGAGCAGGAGCAGCAGAGACGCGCAGAAGAGATCCGGTAGGTCGGGCAAGCCAAAGAGACTACAGCCATGTTCAGAAGCAGAAGAAAAAAGGCAGTGGTTGACCTCCCCTAGAGACAATGTTTGGTTCTGAGGTTCATGCCCCAAAGTAAAACAGCATGCGTTATTTTTCTCTGTCCTCAGTTTTCCTAGGAACACCACCGACCAGAGAGAAGCTGCAGCATCTCAGCCAAGGGCATGGGTACATTCTGCTGAATGTCACTCACATTCAGGTTTACAACCCTAAATGAGGGTTACTCATATTGATGGTCATGAGTTCTTCTTGGGAAGGCTCTGAGAGTCAGTCCAGCAAACATTTGCCAAGCCCCTGCGCTTTGCTGTCTGCACTTTTCTAGTCCCTTTCACAGGCCTCAACTGCAATTTCATCTTCACAACAACCCTGTGAGGCAGCAGTTTTGAAATCCTTAAGAATGAAAAATGAACTTTTGTGCCAGAGTACAGAGCTGTGTGCTGAAACTCTGGTTTCAAGCCCACTGGGCTCTTGTCTCTGCTCTTCAATCCTGGCTTCCCTTGGAAAACTGAGTCTCCTGGGAATGGGATGGCTCTGAGCCCACTGGCCACAGACCTCCCCCATGGGTACTGTCTGTTGGCTCATCTCACAAGGCTGTCTCAGTGTTTTCTGCCATTTCCCTGCCCATCTTGTGTTTTCTCAGCTTGAGGAAACAGAGACTCCAAGAAGAACAGCAGCGGCAGGAGGAGGAGGAGAGAAAGCAGCAGCTCCGGTTGAAAGCAGCCCAGGAGAGAGCTCGGCAACAGCAAGAGGAGTTTCGGAGGAAACTACAAGAACTACAGAGAGAAAAGCAACAGAAGGAAGCTGAGAGGGCCGGTGAGGGGGTTCTTGAGCTCTTTGCCTCTCTCTTCTATTTGGGGCAGAAACATTTTTATCCAACTGTGAGTGTTCATTTATTACTATCCTAGGCCTTAGGGTGTTAAGCAATCTAAATATATAAACAATTTTTTTCAAAATGATTATGTATGACTATAGTGTGTTAATATAGATCTAAGAAAGTAATGACTTGCTTGTGGAAATGACTCCAGAGGCCTTCTCTCAATCCAACAACCTCCTGAACTGGGATCTTGCCCTTCCCTTTGCCCTTTCGGCATTGCTCAGGAGCTACCTAAATTGGAGACACAGCCTTACTCCTTTCTTCCTTCCCTAGCAGATGGAAACAGTCACAAGCATCTGGATAGCTTCAGGGCACTTTCAGGTGCTGATGTGTGGAATCTCACCAGCCTCTTTTTAAAAACTATTACTTATTTTTAATTGACATAGAATAATTGTACATATTTACAGAGTACAATGTAATATTTGACACATATACAATGTGTAATTATCAAATCAGGGTAATTAGCATCTCCATCACCTCAAACATTCATCATTTGTGTTGGGAACATTCAAAATCCACTTTTTTTTCCTTCAAAATCCACTTTTTTTTTTCTTCAAAATCCACTCTTCCAGCCAAGTGACGTGACTCAGCTTGTAATCTCAGAATTTTGGGATGGCGAGGCAGGTGGATCACCTGAGGTCAGGAGTTCGAGACCAGCCTGGCCAACATGACAAAACCCTGTCTCTACTAAAAGTATAAAAATTAGCCAGGTGTGATGGCATGTGCCTGTAATCCCAGCTACTCAGAAAACTGAGGCAGGAGAATTGCTTGAACCCAGGAGGCAGAGGTTGCAGTGAGCCGAGATAGCATAATTGCACTTCAGTCTGGGCAACAAGAGCAAGACTCTGTCTCAAAAAAAGAAAAAATCTACTCTTCTAGCTATTTGGAAATAGAAGTTGTTGTTACAGTCACCTACAGTGCTACAGAACGCTAGAACTTACTCCTTCTATCTAGGTGTACTTTAGTAGTCTTTAACCAACTTCTCCCTAACCCCCCAACAACCCCCTACGCTTCCCTCCCTCTAGTAACCACTGTTCTATTCTCTACCTCCATGAGATCAATGTTTTTAGCTTTCACATGAGTAAAAACATTTCATTTATTTTTCTATGTCAAGCTTATTTCACTTAATATAAGTCCTCTCAGGATCATTCACATTGTCATAAAAGACAGAATTTTATTCTGTTTATGGCTAAATAGTATTCCATTATGTATATATACCACATTTTCTTTATCCATTCATCTATTAATGGACATTTATATTGATTCTATATCTTGGCTATTGTGAAGAATGCAGCAATAAACATGTAAGTGCAAGTATCTCCTCAATATGTTGATCTCCTTTCCTTTGGACGTATACTAGCAGTGGGATTGCTGGGTCCAGCCACACCTTTGAGGAAGAGATAAGAACTTCAGCAGACCACACTGTGGCCACTTCCTGATTCTGGCTGTAGACTCAGTGCAGCTGAGGAAGCACCAAGTTTCTCTACACCCTGATCTGACACCACTCCCCAACCCAGCTTCATACCACCACATAAAAATACCAGGCTCTGGAAAAATTATTCCCCAAGTCTTTGTATTAACTGCATAGTGTACTACACATAGTAGGTGCTTAATAAAAAAAAAAATTTTTTTTTTTTGAGACGGAGTTTCCATATTGTTGCCCAGGCTGGAACACAATGATGCAATCTCAGCTTACCGCAACCTCTGCCTCCTGGGTTCAAGCAATTCTCCTGCCTCAGCCTCCCAAGTAGCTGGTATTATAGGCATGCACCACCACACCCTGCTAATTTTGCATTTTTAGTAGAGATGGGGTTTCCCCATGTTGGTCAGGCTGGTCTCAAACTCCTGACCTCAGGTGATCTACCCACCTTGGCCTCCCAAAGTGCTGGGATTACAGACGTGAGCCACCGCACCTGGTCAGGACTCTTAAATTATTAAATTAATCCCCAAGGTACTCCCCAGAGAGGATCTGGCAGCCAGCTAGATGGTTAAACTGCAAAATTTCTCACAGGGAGTCCCTCAGAATCACAGATTTGAGAGTTGGATCAGAAAATTGTTTTCCCCAATAATGATCCCTCCTGAGCCCACCCTCTTTTCTATTTTCCAGAGGCAGAGAAGCAAAGGCAAAAGGAATTGGAAATGCAGTTAGCAGAAGAACAAAAACGTCTGATGGAAATGGCTGAAGAGGAACGACTGGAGTACCAGCAGCAGAAACAGGAAGCGGAAGAGAAGGCTCAGCTGGAGGCAAAGGAGAGGAGGCAAAAGGAAGAGGAAGCAGCAAGACTCGCTCTGGAAGAAGCCACAAAACAAGCCCAGGAAAAGGCCAGGTACTGGACATTTGGGCAACTGTTGCCATTGGGGGGTTGTTCATGGGCTTCACTGTCCAGCACTAATGCTAGCCTTGCACTGCCTTTGGACAAGAAAAGTTCCCCCACCCCACGCATGGTTTGGAAGACGGAAAGGCATAGAGGGATTCTTTTGCTGCAAATATCAAGGATTCCTCCATGGCTTAAAGAAGTTATACTGAAGCTACAAGGGAGTTTAGAGAGATCCACCTCAATCATCTATTTTATAGATGAAAAGGCATGTCCCAAAGAGGAAAAGGATCTTGATCACGAACAAACAGTGACTTAGGAACAATGCCAAGGCCAGATCTAAGACCCCCTAATTCCATACCCATTGCCTTCCTTGGTATCTACTGAGTGCCTGTTATGTGCCAAACACTGTTACAGACACTAGGAATCCGGGAGTATGAAAGATAGAGGGCCGGGCTCAGTGGCTCGTGCCTATAATCCCAGCACTTTGGGAGGCCGAGGCAGTGGGTGGATCACCTGAGGTCTACAGTTTGAGACCAGCCTGGCCAACATGGTCAAACCCCATCTCTACTAAAAATATAAAAATTAGCTGGGTGTGGTGGTGGGCACCTGTCATCCCAGCTACTTGGGAGGCTGAGGCAGGAAAATCACTTGAACCTGGGAGGCAGAGGTTGCAGTGAGCCGAGATCAAGCCATGCACTCCAGCATGGGCGACAAGAGTGAGGAAAAAAAAAAAAGATGTGAAAGAATTGCATGTGGCTTATTTTAATTGATTAACCAGGGCAAGACCTCTCAGAAGAGGTGTCATATATGGTGAAACTTGAATGACAAAGAGCCACATAAACATCTGGAAGAAAAATATCCCAGCAAGTAAACAGTAAGTATAAAGGTCTGAAGAAAGAAATGAGGCTGGCATGTTGGAAGAATATAAGACAGTATGGATGGAATGAAGGGGACAAAGGGCAAAGGATACTTCCAGATGAAGTTAGGGATATAGGCCAAGACCAGATCTAAAATGAGGACCTTGTTAGAAGAAAAAGCACAGAATCAAAGTCAACAGGGTCTTCCCCCTTTATTCTCCTATAATATGATTATCATTGCATCTTACTGATAATAAAAACTGAGGTATGTATTTCAATTGACTCTAAAAGCTAGGACCTCTATAGTTGCTACATCATGAACTTCTCCTCCTTAGAGAAAGTAACTAATAACTGTCCCTGTTTAGAACCACCAAAGTTGAAAGGTAAAGAGGCACAACCCAGAAAACCATGTGATTCCAACCTTAACTATAAATACTTTTCCCCTTCAAATATCTGTCCACAACTTAAGCTGAATCTAAGATGATAAATACTCTTTAGGGGACCAAAAAGAGAAGGCAGCCAGTGCAACTCGATTTCAAGGTTGTCTACTAACCTTGAGTTCTTCCTCCTCTGGACTTTCCTCAGCTGTTAGGTGAATTACAAAATGGATCATTAGGCAAGCCCTCACTTCATTTCAAAATTATCTATTCCATGTACCAGAGCAGCAGAATTAGGTTCCTAAATATTGAGACCACAGGCTAACTACTGGGAGTTCCAACTTTCCACGAGAAGGAAACTGACAGTAATCCAAGGCAAAGCCGGGCAATTTATAAGGATAGTCCAAGTAGCTGAAAGCAGAAAACCAAATAACTAAAGGGATGAGGAAAAGAGCCTCACTCTACCAAGACTCAGGAGAATTTCATATCAACTGGCTTTATTTCATCTTCACTGTGTGACACTGGCCCAGATAATTTAACTTCTCTGGCCTGTTTTCTCACCCCACACCCTTTTTTTTTTTTAAGACAGAGTCTCACTCTGTTGCCCAGTCTGGAGTGCAGGGACACAATCTCGGCTCACTGCAACCTCCACCTTCCAGATTTAAGAGATTCATGCCTCAGCCTCCCAAGTAGCTGGTAGGGAGCCACCAGGTTGGCTAGTTTTTGTATTTTTTTTTCAAATATTCAAAATAGTCTGTATTCTACATTTTTTAGTATAAAAAATCCACAAGTTAAGTACACCACAGTGTAGGCAAAGACATACGACGCTGAACTTTCATAACAGTCAATGGTACAGTCAACCATCACATGTACAGAACACACAATTTAGATGAACTGAAATAAGATTTAAAAAATCCAATTGCAGAAAACAAAACTCAAAAGATTAAAGATCCCTGAAATATTCTTAACCCTAATGAGATTCCTCACTGGACTCAAGTCATTTAGTAGTGAAGCATTCACAATATGACCCTATTAACCCAGTCTAGGAATTTTGGGGAGCCGAATGAGTAGCTGCAACAGACACTCTGACAAAAAATAGTAACCAATTTTAGATCTGAAAACTCCTCTTAATTTGGCTCTAAACACATCAATCAGGCTTTTGAAATGCATCCTCTTCCCTGCCCCTAATATTTTAAAACAACTGTTGTTCACAGAACAGTTTGCATGATACGTTTGTTCAAACATAGCTCAGTTTTTCTAGCACCAAAGCAAATTTGGGTTAGGTTCATGTGTGCAGACACAACCTATGAGAAGGGTCCAAAAGGTACCCTCCACTATTGCCTGAGGAGATATGAAAGCAGCAGAAGTAATGGGATCTGTGCTTGGGGCACACAGCAGGTTTCAGAGGATCCTTGTTAAAGACTAGTTAAAAGATGACACGTGGGGAGAAGTTTGAGGAAAGGAGGAAATTAGTCTGACTGGCTTTCTGTCCTGCACCGTTGATTCAATGGAGACTGTCAGGAGGAAGTGGAAGACTAAAGTTGGAGATGGGATGGCTGGGGCAAGGGATGGAAAGGAAAAGGCAGACAACTAATGTGTTCCATTTATAACAATATAAATCAAAAACTTAAAGGAGATTAAAGACCAATCAGAATAATTTTGCAACTTTAATTCTTAGGAAGATCTATCTAAGTTCCCTTTAATCCTAATTTGATGTTTTATTACCAAACTCAAAGAGCAGTATGGAACACTATTACTCCAGAGAAATTGAAGGAAGATCCTTAGGGCAGCTTCACCCACATTCATATTATGAATGGATACCTTCCCTAGCTCAAAATGCTTTAGGGAGATACCTACCATTACATGATTCCTTATTAAATTTGAAAAGTGCCTGAAAGTTTGGACACCAGAAAGACACCCCAAAAACATGTGTCTAAACTGCAACTTCAGGTTACTATGATAAAGCAGTTACATTGTGAGAAGTGCTGAAGGTATGTGATGTCTTTCCTGACACAAAGGTGACCTTGGTTCCTCAGCAGATGGTGTAGCCACCATTTGAACCACCCATGAAGTTCCCCTTCTGCTGAGTTACGAGGACGCTGACTCCTGCATGACTGCAAGCTGAGCAGCATTGAGAGGGCATCCAGGAGGTGGAATGTTGCCAGCAGTAACATCCCAGCTCCAAATCTGGTACCTGCATCATACTCTCCTTCCACCAGCCCTGTAGAGCCAGGTGGATAGATGGGACCCACTGGATAATAAGCCATGGGGATTGTGGAACCAAAGGCCCAACAGCCACAGACTGGGCCATGGGAACATACAGAGAGGCTCCAGGAAATGCGGCCGACATGGTGGGGACTGTGGTAGCCCCTGGGTGCACAGTGCTCAGATCAGAGCTCTGAGTAGGCAGGTGGAGCATCAGTATAGGGTGGAGCCTGAGGAATATGCAAGGTTTGAAGGTCTACTGGATTCCCAGGAGGCTGCACAGGGTAGGCTGGCTGTGTTGGATACTGACCTTTGCTGTTCAGTGGCTGCAGGCCCGGTTCATACTGGCATTGCGGAGACCATTTTTTCATCCTCTTTCTGTTCAGAGCCACTTGTGTCACGATGACAGGTCTCCGTCTAACATCACTCAACACCTGAGTGGCGCTGCCCCCCAGTTTTTGTATTTTTAGTAGAGATAGGGTTTCACCATGTTGCTCAGGCTAATCTCAAACACCTGGCCCATCTGCCCGCCTCAGCCTCCCAAAGTGCTGGGATTACAGGCATGAGTCACTGCACCTGGCCCTTTCCTCATCTCTTAAATGAGGGAGTCCTTTTCAGCAGTATAAGAATTGACTTGGCCCACCACAGTGCCTCACACCTGTAATCCCAGCCCTTTGGAGGCTGAGGCGGGGGGATCACGAGGTCAGGTGTTCAAGACCAGCCTGGCCAATATGGTGAAACCCTGCCTCTACTAAAACTGCAAAAATGAGCCAGGTGTGCTGGCACGCACCTGTAGTCCCAGTTACTCAGGAGGCTGAGGCTGAAGAATCGCTTGAACCTGAGTGGTGGAGGATTCAATGAGCTGAGATAGTGCCACTGCAATCCAGCCTGGACAACAAAGCGAGACTCCATCTCAAAAAAAAAAAAAACCACTGTGAGTCATGCCTTTCCTTTTACTTTTCCAATAGGAGGCTCGTGGTACTGTAAACCGCATATGTAAACTTACTAAATGAAGAGTATGATCTTCCACTAAAATCCAAGATCAACAGCCCCAAGTCTAATTGATAATTACTCAAATCTAAAGTTATCCAGCTAGCTTATAAGGACAATTTCTAGGGTGCTTAATAATTATTGTAATTGGGGTGCGGTTGTCTCCTTAGGCAAAAAGCTGCTTTGGCGAAACATCTTCATTTCCATCAAGAACTCCATAAGGAAGCCAGTAGTCTGCAGTGGACACACAACATTTCCAGACCATGGGTTTACTCTTATTTCCAGTTCCTACAAATACCCAGGCCTTAAGGCTAGAAGAAAACTAAAGAGTAAGTTGGGAGGTGGTGACAAAAAGAGAAACTTCCCTTTATAATAAAGTTCCAAGGGCCAGGCATGGTGGCTCATGCGTGTAATCCCAACATTTTGGGAGGCTGAGGCAGGATGCTTGCCTGAGGCTGGGAGTTTGAGACCATCCTAGGCAACATAGTGGAAACTCCGTCTTTATAAAAAAAAAGTTTAAGCCGGGCGCGGTGGCTCACGCCTGTAATCCCAACACTTTGGGAGGCCGAGGCGGGTGGATCACGAGGTCAAGAGATCGAGACCATCCTGGTCAACGTGGTGAAACCCCATCTCTACTAAAAATACAAAAAAATTAGCGGGGCACAGTGGCGCGTGCCTGTAATCCCAGCTACTCAGGAGGCTGAGGCAAAAGAATTGCCTGAACCCAGGAGGCGGAGGTTGTGGTGAGCCGAGATCGCGCCATTGCACTCCAGTGTGGGTAACAAGAGCGAAACTCCGTCTCAAAAAAAAAAAAAAAAAAATTTAATTAGCCAGGCATGGTGGGGTATGCCTGTAATCCCAGCTACTCAGGAGGTTGAAGCAAGAGGATCGCTTGAGCCTAGGAGTTCCAGGCTGCACTGAACTATGATGGTGCCACTACACTGCAGCCTGGGTGAGAATGAGACTGTCTGTTAAAAAAGTTTCATCCTGTCTCAGTGCCTCCCCGCTCTGCATCCCCTCCCCACCTCCCACAAAAAAGTTTCATCCTGACCCCATTTAGTTCCATCTGGTTAACCTCAAACCAACCTGACACTCTTTACTCTGAAACCTCCATTTCCACCACCCCTCAACAACTCACACACTTTGTTCAACCCAATTGAACTCTTCACTCACCTAAATCCTTTATGTTCTTCAGAACCATATAAATCCAGAAGCCTTGGTGCCTAAAACTGCCCATAATTTCAGTATGAAACACTAACATGGTCTTAGGATAGTCAAAGTATTTCATTTCAGTCAATGTGTCTGAAAGAGTTACAGAAAAATGAAAACTGTGTAGTGCAAATAATTTTGAATTAGCTCAGAGAAACTAATTTATATATTCAAATATGTTAGGAATTTTATTAAACATCTCTCTGTAAAGCAGAACCACAACCATTTTACCCTAAGGATCTAAAACTTAATGTCTATTTAGAACAATGTATATTTGCAATCACTTGATAAATGTTCATTTCAGCAAAATGAGCTGTTTTGTGAAGCCATTGTCCTATCCTCAAAGTATAGTTTCTAGAGCTGCACTGTTGAGTAACACAGCACCAGCTATATGTAGCTATTTAAATTTGTTAAAACACTCTTCAGTCACAACAGCCCCAATTTAAGTGCTCAGTGGTCATGTGTGGCTACTGGCTACTGTACTGGACAGCACAGATGTAGAATATTTCCATGATAGGAAATTATATTGGGCAGCATTATTCTAGAGGCCTGAACATTAATAAATCTTGAGTTTTAGCCCCTGTGCCTTGAAGAATTAACCACTCACAAAATTTCTCCAGTTGAAAAATTATTGACTCTACCAGGATGTCTTTTTTTTTTTAAACATCCTCGCTCTATAACCCAAGGTAGAGTGCAGTGGCACAATCACAGCTCACTGCAGTCTTGACTTCCTGGGCTCAAGCAATCCTCCCACCTCAGCCTTCCAAGTAGCTGAGACTACAGGCATGCACCACCACATTTGGCTAATTTGTGTATTTTTAGTACAGATGGGGTTTTGTCATGTTGCTCAGGCTGGTCTCAAATTCCTGGGCTTGAGTGATCTGCCTGCTTCAGCCTTCCAAAGTGCTGGGGTCACAGGCATGAGCCACTGTGCCAGGCCCAGGATGAGCCTGGATTAGATATTTATCTTTAACAACTCTCTTTTAGTATTTAATAAACTATCCCTTTAACAAATGGATGATGAAAGATATTTTTAGCATACAAGTTATATACAAAAATGTTATTTAAATCCACAGCATCTGAACCTGAATTTTTTCACAAATTTCTTTTGGCCCTACTCGATACTTTACTGTCTACAGATGAAAAACTTAATATTTATAAGTAATTACCTCCAATTCCTCTACAGAAATTACACCTCTACAACCCAGAAATCAAACCTGTTTGAATTCTGTATTGCTGTTATTGGACTTGCTTAGATTTGATCTTTATTTTAACTCCTTGTTTTATATAAGAATTAAATAGAAATAAAATAGTCAAACACTAGATACTATCAGTCACAGTAAACTTCAGTATGTCATCTAAACATTTTCTCAAGCTTGTAGACCTTAACTGCACATTCATTCATTCAATCAATTCATTCAACAGTACTTAATCAGGTAAGAAAGGAACATCTCAAATAATTCAGCCCACAACAGAACAAACACAAGGAAATCATCCTTGTGGGGAAAATTACCATTGCTGACTTTAGTTTCTCCCTTCTTTTACAGATTTAGATGTTGCATCAAGCACCAGATAAAAGTGGCTTCACTAAATTTTATTCAAGGTCCCTTAAGAAATCTGATAATCTGTTAAAATTTTTGTTGTGAAATGCCTATTTATCAGCACTGCTAATCAGATAAGCACATGTTTAAGTTAAACATAGCAGAGTGCAGTGCATTTAGAAGAATCCAAAAAACTAAAAACAAGAAAATTATTTCCCCAGTAGCTAAATCACACCACCTAAATCCTGAGAGCCTTCAGACATTTAGAGATGCAAACAAAATTGAGATACCAAACTGGCCGGGGCATGGTGGCTCACATCTATAGTCAGGAGTTCACGAACAGCCTGACCAACATGGAGAAACCCTGTCTCTACTAAAAATACAAAATTTAGCTGGGCGTGGTGGTGCATGCCTGTAATCCCAGCTACTCAGGAGGCTGAGGCAGGAGAATCACTTGAACCCAGGAAGTGAAGGCTGCAGTGAGCCAAGATCGCGCCACTGCACTCCAGCCTGGGCAACAAGAGTGAAACTCTTGTCTAAAAAAAAAAAGATACCAAACTATAGATTCACATAGTTCAAATACCCAGTCAGATCTGTTTTTCAGTCTTGACAGAAATATGCAACTCTGGAGGATTTTCTTAAAATGGGCCTAGTTCCTACTCACTGTTTAAGGAATACAAGGATAAATATCAGGTGACAATCTAAAAGCTCTAACTTACACCATACAAATAATTTTTCAATCAGGGTCAAACACAAGAACTTTAAGATCAAGCCAACCTCTTTCTCAAAAGGTGACCTGAGTAGGTATGTAAGCTATAACAGTTTATAGCTTATGCATTCAACGTGGGTTTTATTTGGTCTTCTAAAGTAGTTAGATGACATTCTATTTGAGATAATATGAAACTGGACTGTATGTATGCAGAGATATAGTAAATTCTGTGATTCATTAGCATTAAAAATCAAAGTTAAGCCCTCTAATAGGAACAAACTAATCTGGTATTCGAATTTTACACAAAGTTTAAATATTTAAGATATAGAGAAATAAGGCCACACCAGGCACAGTGGCTCACGCCTGTAATCCCAAAACCTTGGGAGGCCGAGGGGGGAGGATCACGAGGTCAAGCAATCGAGACCATCCTGGCCAACATGGTGAAACCCCATCTCTACTAAAAATAGAAGAATTAGCTAGGCGTGGTGGCGCACGCCTGTAGTCCCAGCTACTTGGGAGGCTGAGGCAGGAGAATCACTTGAACCCAGGAGGCAGAGGTTGCAGTGAGCTGAGATCGCCCCACTGCACTCCAGCCTGGTGACACAGCAAGACTCTGTCTTAAAAAAAAAGGGGGGGGGAAGAAATAAAGCCAGGCCGGGCACAGTGGCTCAAGCCTGTAATCCCAGCACTTTGGAAGGCTGAGGCGAGCAGATCACAAGGTCAGGAGTTCAAGACAGCCTGGCCAATATGGTGAAACCCCATCTCTACCAAAAATACAAGAATTAGCCAGGCATGGTGGCGAAACTTAGTCCCAGCTACTTGGGAGACTGAGAGGCAAAAGAATTGCTGCTGGGCGCGGCGGCTCAAGCCTGTAATCCCAGCACTTTGGGAGGCCGAGGCGGGTGGATCACAAGGTCAAGAGATCGAGACCATCCTGGTCAACATGGTGAAACCTTGTCTCTACTAAAAATACAAAAAATTAGCTGGGCACGGTGGCATGTGCCTGTAATCCCAGCTACTCAGGAGGCTAAGGCAGGAGAATTGCCTGAACCCAGGAGGCGGAGGTTGCGGTGAGCCGAGATCACGCCATTGCACTCCAGCCTGGGTAACAAAAGCGAAACTCTGTCTCAAAAAAAAAAAAAAAAAAGAATTGCTTAAACCTGGGAGGCAAAGGTTGCAGTGAGCCGATTACACCACTGCACTCCAGCCTGGGTGACAGAGCAAGACTCCAAAAAAAAAAACTACACACACACACATACACACACACACACACACACAAAGAAATAAAAGGAAAACATAAAATATACCAAGCCTTACCATTCTGTAAATTGTTAAAGGAACAATTGAAATTATCAATATAAATCAATTAAGAATTTTTGGCATGCCCATTTATTCAACATGATTAGGTAACTGTATCATATATATGTTCCATACAGGAGTATCAAGATTTTTTTAAAAAAAAACAGAACACTGAGTATTAAAAAAGTATTGTGGCCCTAATTAAATCCTTGATGCAGAAGGCACTTCAGTAATTTTCAGTGCTTCAAAGTCATTAACATCACTGTACAGTAATGAAGAAAAAATTTGTACCAGGTGTAATTTCCAGTATCTATGCAAGAAAACCTTACTTGAGGCATTTTCTTTTTTCTTTCTTTACAACTGAAATAAAATAAGCATTAGTACGATTTTTACAAATATTGTTTATTTTAATGAAGCTGGTACAGACAATGTCCATTTAAAACCCATATCCCAGGCCAAAAAGGTACAAATAAAATCAAAAAGAGCAGTGTTCTGTTGTATTCATTTCTGCATGTATAGCTTTATTAACTGCTAATGAAAATTAGAACTTTTCTGGGATCTTCTGACAAGATTTTTTAAAAACCTTAAAATGCCTTTTCTTCAGTGAAGCCATCTCTGGAGTTGTCATTACTCTCACCTTATCTGTCATCTTGACTTCAACCTGATATTCCTCTTCTTTTGGTCCAGACCCTCAAATTTTAAAAGTAGCTTCATTAAGGAAAGGTCATTTTTCCACAGTTCAGTTCTCTGAAAAACTTCCATCTCCCACTGAAAGTCACAGTCCAGGAGTGAAGCAATCACATGCTACAACATCAGGGCCAATTAGAAAGTCATTATGAACACTTGCATTGGTCGATCTTATTTATCACCACAAGCCTGAAAATGCAATGTCCTGAAAAAGGTGCCCTCTCTGTGCACACGTAATTTTTAAAAAGGAAAGGGCAATATGAAGGGGACTGAGGCTTGATCACCAAAAATCAGCACAATGAAAACAAACAATAATGAATAATGACCACCAGAATTCAAATTACCAGATGTTTCAAAGAGATGGGGTGCCAGTTTTCAATTCTGTTTTGAACACCACATTACAAAAGAACTAGTTTTAAAAATAAAAAAGGATTGAGGGAAAAGAAAAAAAAATAAAAAGATTATCTAAACTGTTGAATGACCCCCTGTTTGTTCCTGATAAACTTCAATCACATCTTCTTCCTCCATTCCCAGCTGTAAGAGGAAAGAAAAATGTTAGTACAATACAAAAGCACTGTTTTTAAATTGGCTACAATTATGTGGCCACCAATTTAAAAGTGCAAAGAGATCCAAATGTGATCCATATTTACAATCCTCTAAGATTAAGAATCCTGCTTTCTGGCCGGGCGTGGTAGCTCACTCCTATAATTCCAACACTTTGGGAGGCCAAGGAGGGTGGATCATTTGAGGTCAGGAGTTTGAGACCAGCCTGGCCAACATGGTGAAACCCCATCTCTATTAAAAATACAAAAGGAGCCGGACACCTGTAATTCCAGATACTTGGGAGACTGAAGCAGGAGAATCACTTGAACCCAGCAGGCAGATGTTGCAGTGAGCCGAGATCATACCATTACATTCCAGCCTGGGTGACAGATGAGACTCCATTTAAAAAAAAAAGAAAGAAAAAAAAATAATCCTGGCTGGGCACGGTGGCTCACACCTGTAATCCCAGCACTTTGGAAGGCCGGGGCGGGCAGATCACAAAGTCAAGAGATCATGACCATCTTGGCCAATATGGTGAAACCCCGTCTTTACTAAAAATATAAAAATTAGCTGGGAGTGGTGGTGGGCACCTATAATCCCAGCTACTTGAGAGGTTTGAGGCACGAGAATTTCTTGAACCCAAGAGGCAGAGGTTGCAGTGAGCAGAGATTGCACCACTGCACTCCAGCCTAGGCAATAGAGGGAGGCTACGTCTCAAAAAAAAAAAAAGAATCCTATTTTCTTTAAAGAACACAGAGGTGTCTTTCCTTCTCATTCTGTCTATTGAGTTGTCCATCTTACTTTCCTGAGTCAATTTCACTACCGAGGTTTATTTGCTGTATAAAACTTAAGTGGTGGCTGGGCATGGTAGCTCACGCCGCTAGTCCCAGCACTTGGCCCGGCCGAGGCGGATGGATCACTTGAGGTCAGGAGTTCAAGACCAGCCTGGCCAACATCTTGAAACCCCGTCTCTACTAAAACTATACAAATCAGCCAGGTGTAGTGGCGCATACCCATAGTTCCAGCTACTCGGGAGGCGGAGACAGGAGAATTGCTTGAACCCAGGAGCCGAGATCACACCACTGTACTCCAGCTTGGGCAACAGAGCAAGACTCCATCTCAAAAACAAAAAAGGTGTTTTTGACAGCTATGTTAAAGAATTTTTAAATCTAATGAAACATGTATTTAATAGTTTAAATGATAGTTTGACATCATATATACTAATTTGTTTTGGGTTTTTTTTTTTTTGAGACAGGGCCTCATTATGTTGCCCAGGCTGGAGTACAGTGGCACAATCTCAGCTCACTGCAACCTCAGCATCCTGGGCTCAACAAATCCTCCCATCTCAGCCTCCCCAGTAGCTGGCTCCCCAGTAGCACGTGCCACCATAGCCAGCTAATTATTCTATTTTCAGTAGAGACATGGTTTCGCCATATTGCCCAGGCTGGTCTCAAACTCTTGACCTAGAGTGATGCAGCCCGCCTCAGCCTCCCAAAGTGCTGGGATTGCAGGCGTGGGATCACTGTGCCTGACCAAAAAGTTTTAAATTTTATAGGTAACATTTCTGTGTAGAATTTTAACTATGAAAATTAAATATGTTTAAAACTTAAAAAAAAAAAACAAAAATGTTAAGAAATTTAAACATAAGAGATATGAATTAGGATTTTAAAATGATCAGAATGGCTCTAGTGTTAAGCTATCTCGGTTGTGGCATATTAATGAATATTTAAATAATTATTAAAGATGCTTTTAAAACAATTTTAATTGCTCATATAGCATGGCAATTATTGCAAGGAATAAAATTCCAAATGTTATTAGAAACCTTCAAAACAGGAAGACAGCACAAGTCCTTGAGCTATAAAGAATATGAAGCTACAAACTTCAAGGAGTACATTCAACAGAGACAAGTGAACAATAGCACAGGAGGGTCACTCCCTTAAAGACCTACTCTCTCCTCTCACTGCCCCAACATTCCTCTGAAAAGATAGTCTCTTAATTACAAGGAATGTCTAAGGCATGTGTCAGTAAAATGTATTAGGTATCTACTGTACAGTCCCAGAGATTATGCCAAGTTTGGTCAAGAAATTACAAGGTAAGTTTGGAATTTATTGTGCCAGAAAGTAAGGAAGTGTTCAAGAAGGTGGTAGATACTAAACCTAAGGGGAACATTTAATGAGAAAGGGGATATTCACACCGTTTCAAAGTATGTCCCCTCAAATTACTTAATTATAAGAGGAAAACAGTTAACTACACAGTTAAAAAAAAAAAAAAGACAACACTTAAACTAAGTGATCAAAGCCTCGGCAACATAGGAAAACTCCATCTCTATAAAAAATGTAAAAATTAGCAAAGTATGGTGGCACATGCCTGTAATCCCAGCTACTCAGGAGGCTGAAAGTGATAGTATAGGACTGCTTGAGCCCAGGAGTTTGTGCCTGCAGTGAGCTATGACTATGTTCCAGCCTAGGTGATATAGCAAGAGACCTTGTCTCAAAAAAAAAGAGGAAAAAAAAAATCTCTTCCTGCATCAAATCACTTCGAAAAAAAGAAAAAGAACTAAGTTTAATGTATGCTTAAAAATAACAAAAAACAAAAACAAAAAGCCCAAGTGATAAAAATTAACATCACCAGCTGAGCATGGTGGCTCACACCTGTAATCCCAGCACTTTGGATAGCTGAGGTAGGCGGATCACCTGAGGTCAGGAGTTCGAGACCAGCCTGACCAAGATGGAGAAACCCTGTCTCTACTAAAAATACAAAATTGCCCGGGCGTGGTGACGCATGCCTATAATCCCAGCTACTCGGGAGGCTGAGGCAGAAGAATCGCTTGAATCTGGGAGGCAGAAGTTGCAGTGAGCCGAGATTGCACCATTGCACTCCAGCCTGGGCAATAAGAACAAAACTCCATCTCAAAAAAAAAAAAAAAAAACAATTAACATCGCCAATAAGGGGCCTTCATGGCTTCATGTGCTCCAAATATAACCTGAGAAAGACACATTCATTTATACAGTATTCCAGCCAAAAATATATAGCTTGAATCTAGTCATGAAGGAACAGACAACCCCAAAATGAGGGACTGTCTAGAAAATAATTGGTTGGTATTCTGGTAAAATGTCAATGTCATGAAAGACAAAGAAAGGCCAAAGAACTGTCCCAAATAAAGGGTGATTAAAGGCACACTCTAAAAAAATATGTGATACTAAACTGAATCCTGTGCCGGGGAGGAAATTTGTTATACAACGTAATTGGGACAAAAGACAAAATTAGGTTGTACATTAAGATTAAAGTATTCTAATAGTGTTACATTTCCTGAATTTGATTAATAGTACAGTGGTAATGCAAAATAATACGTTTTCTTTAAAAATGCACATTTAACAAGGCATAAATGGCCACTGTACACAAGCTACTCCCAAATGGTTTGGAGGAAGAGAAAAAATACACACACACGCGTGCGCGCACACAAAATAATTAAGCAAAGATACCAAATGTTAAAAACAGGTGAATCTGGCTAGGCACAGTGGCTCACACCTGTAATATCAGCACTTTGGGAGGCCAAGGCGCATGGATCACCAGAGGTCAGGAGTTCGAGACCAGCCTAACCAACATGGTGAAACCTCATCTCTACTAAATATATATATATATAAAAAAAAAAAGAACAGCCAGGCATGGTGGCACATGCCTGTAATCCCAGCTACCTGGGAGGCTGAGGCAGGAGAATCACTTGAACCTGGGAGGTGGAGACTGCAATGAGCTGAGATCATGCCATTGCACTCCAGCCTGAGTAACAAGAGTAAAACTCTGTCTCAAAAAAAAAAAAAAAAAAAAAAAAAAAAAAAAAAGTTAATCTGGCAGAGAAAAGTTGCTATACTGTTCTTGCAAACTCTGTAAAATAAAAATTATTTCAGACCAGGCATGGTGGCTCACACCTGTAATCCCAGCACTTTGGGAGGCCGAGAGAGTGGATCACCTGAGGTCAGGAGTTCGAGACCAACCTGGCCAACACGGTGAAACCCCATCTCTACAAAAAATACAAAAATTAGCCTGGCATGGTGGCGCGTGCCTTTAATCCCAGCTACTCGAGAAGCTGAGGCAGGAGAATTGCTGAACCCAGGAGATGGAGGTTGCAGTGAGCCAAGATTGTACCACCGCACTACAGCCTGGGCCACCAAGTGAGTCAGTCTCAGTCTCTCTCTCTTTCTCTCTCTCTCTCTCTATATATATATATATTTCAAAGAAAAAACATTAAAAATGGAAAAATGTCAAAAAGAACACAGATGCCAAGGTAAAGGCATTCCCACTGGCAACTATCTAAAGAAGGATATTAATATAGTTTCAAAGCAACTCCCCACGGATTACTTATTGATTACATGGGAAAACTGTAACTTTATATTGGATAAATCTGCCAGTTACCACCTTAACTAAGTGACTAAAGTTAACATTAACAGGACAGTCATCATGTACTTCCTGACATAATACACTCAGAAGTACATAGCTTCAATCTGTGCCATCCCCCACCCAAAAAAAAAGCAAAACTTAATCTAACCATGAGTTAACATTACACAAACCCAAAGTGAAGGACTTTAAAAAAAAAAAAAAAAGGTCAGTATAATTATAAAAGACCGAGGAACTGTTCCAGATTCAAGAAAGCTAAGAGGCATGACAGGCCAGGCTTAGTGGCTGACATCTGTAATCCCATAACTTTGGGAGGCCAAGGTGGGCGGATCACTTGAGGTCAGGCCTGACCAACATGGTGAAACCCCGTCTCTACTAAAAATACAAAAAATTAGCTGGGCATGGTGGCGCATGCCTGCAGTCCCAGCTACTCAGGAGGCTGAGGCAGGAGAATTGCCTGAACCCAGGAGGCGGAGGTTGCAGTAAGCCGAGATTGCGCCATTGCACTCCAGCCTGGGTAACAA